CGAGGTGGGGCTGCAGCTCAGAGGCAGAGAGCTCTTACCTGGCGCCTGTAAGAACCTGGGTTCGATCCTCCAAAGCCGTAAATCCCAGCTGCCAGACACACAGACCTATGAAGTCTGCATTTCAGCAGATCTCAGTTAGGTAAGGCTGACCCAAGCATCCAAGAAGCAGTATTCTCTGCTTCTCCTGAATGTCACCTGTCAATAATTCCAAGTTGGGTATGGAGACGCAAACTGGTGATTCCAACAGCAGAAGGCCCAGGCAGGAAGACGAGCAGGAGGTCCGGGCCCACCTGAACTATACAGTAGAAGAACAAAAACAAAAAACAGTTTCTCCCCGACCTGTGGCCAGCCTGCAGCCAACTCACCCTCAAGGCTCTCCTTGCTGCTCCTCCAGCGATCATGTGAGGACTCTCTTACCTGTCTGTGCTTCCTCCTGGGATGGTGGCCAAGGGGGTGATGAAGGGAAGGAACAGGTTTATCCCCTGGAACCAGTGAATGGCACTCCCTGGTATCTTATCTGCATGAAGGCAGACCCGAGCAAGAAAACATAACTGCCTTGCACCTCCACCGACACTCCAGACCTTCTCAAAGAAAGACTGCCGGAGGCTGGGATGTGATGGTGCATACATGCCTGAAACCCCAGCAGGGGCAGGAGGATACTTGATTCTGGAGCTTGACTGAAGGCCAGGAAACACAATGAAAACGAAGTCGTCTGGGCATAGTGGTGCATGCTATAATATCAGCTCTGAGGAGGTGGAGGCCACTAAGGTCTGCGGTCACTACGATCTGGAGTCACTGAGATCTGAGGCCACTACAGTATGAGGTCACTAAGGTGTGGGATCACTAAGGTCTGAGGTCACTAAGATGTGGGGTCACTAAGGTCTGGGAGCCTGTTAAATTACCAAAAAACGAAACCCAAGCCAACTGAGCAAGTGGCCCTGAGCCTGGGGGTGTGGCTCAGAGACCACCCACCCAGCAGGTGAGGTCCTGGATTACATCCACAATACCAGACCTGGGCATACCCCAAATGTAATGTGTTTCAAATGTAATGTGTTTACAAGCTAGTTCCTGCCTCCAGGGGCCACTATGCTCCACAGCCATTTCACTCCTGAAATCTGCATTCCCATTCTCCTCTATAGAGAAAGAAATACAAAATTTATAAAGTATGCTGGCCTATGACCCTGACTGCCTCCTTGATTTAGTCAGTTTGTATATTCTGTAACTAATCTGTGTTTGCCAGTTTGCTCGAGCAAACCATGGAATCCTCTGAGTTTGGTGACTGAACCCTGTCACAATGACTCCAGGCAAGCATGTGGCTTTGCCAGGGAGGACCAGAGGCTGGAGGGCCTGCCTCCTTCTCTGGAGCATGAGTATAAGAGATTGCCAGGAATGCATGTATAAACAGAGCACCAACAGGAGCAATTATTGGCTGGAGGGATGGCTCTGTGGCTAAGAGCACTGGTTGCTTTTCCAGAGGACCTGGGTTCAATTCCCACATGGCAGCTCACAACCTCTCTATAACTCCATTCCCCCGGAACCTGATGCCCTTCTGGCCTCCGAGGACATCAAGTGTGCAACGGTGCACAGACATACATGTAGGCAAAACACCTGTACACACAATAATTAATTAATTAAGTTTAGAGAGTAGGTCTTTGTCAGGGCTGGGAAGGTTGCTCAGAGGTTGGCGCACCGGCGGATTTTCTGGGCACCCAGGCTCTGTCCGAACACACACATGCTGGCTCACAACTTCCTGTAACTCCAATTCCAGGGATTCAACCCCTTTTCTGACCTCCAAGAGCATGCGCTCAGAGCACAAACAAGTGGGCAAAACACTCATGCAGAAACAAAAAATTTAAATTATCCAGGTGTGGTGGCACCAGCCTTCAATCCCAGCATTCAGGAGGCAGAGGCAGGAAGAGCATATCTCTTCAAGTTCGAGGCCAGCATGGGTCTACACAGTGAGTCCCAGGCCAGTCAGAGCTACATGGTGAGACCCTGTCTCAAAAAAAAAAAAAAAAATTAAGTCTTTTTTAGGGTTTCTACTGACCCCCAAGGCTATGATGTCTCCTGTGCAGGGCAGGGCAGCAACTGGAATCTTCAGATTGGCTTCATGACCCAAGACAGGCTGACTAGTGGTGGACGTGACCTTCTGGGTCACAAAGCTTTCTCCAGTTGTCTTTGTGTGATGCGCTGGGGTCATCTTGGTCTCATGATTACCTAGTTAATAGAGAACCGAGCTTGGGAAACTGGCATCCTCACCCAGTGATATACTTATTAATGGGAGAGGGCTGTGGCTGGAATCTAGTCCTTTTCTAGAGCCTCACGGCTTACAGAGTTGGTGGTGCCATAGTTCTCAACCTGTGGGTCACGATCCCCTCAGAGTCAAATGACCTTCTCACAGGGAATGCCCATGACAGCAGGGATATTTACAATTCATAACAGCAGCAAAATCAGTTATGAAAAAGTAACGAAAATAATTTTATGGTTGGGGTCACCACATGAGGAACGGAATTAGAGTCACGGCATGAGGAAGGGTTAGAACTGCTGTGGTAGCAGGGCCAGACACTCTTTCCGCTTCGTTTTCAGTGGCCTGGGCCCTGTGAACATGCACTCTCTGCTGGGCCACATCTCTTGTCCTTCCTTGCCTGCATCTCGCTTCCATCAGTGGAGGCAGAGGACAGCAGAAGGTACCGTTCCTCTGGTGCCATCTACCTTGTACTTTCGAGAAAGGGTCTCTCGCTGGGACCTGAGGCTCACTGATTAGACTGGTATCCAGTAAGGGCTGGGGTCCTCCCATCTCTGCCTCCCTAGTGCTGGGATGACAGGCACACACCATCATGCTTTACTTTGTCAGTGGGTGTTGGGACTTGAACTCTGGTCCTCATGATCACTCAGCAAGTCCTTTACCCACTGAGACAGCATGTCGGTGGGAAATTATCTTTCTTGCCTTCTTGTAGGAGGACGCAGCCTGGAAGTGAGCGGTATCATTGTCTGCTCTGAGCCCCATATTGCCTGAGATTATTAAGTATGTGTGTTCATGACTGTCTGCTCTTGACTGTAAATGTCCTATGACCAGCTGCTTTGACCTTCTGCAGCTGTGAGTTTCCCGAAATGATGTGACCTGAATTTACAAGTTAAAACAAACCTTTATCCTAAGTTGCTTTTTTGTTTTTGAGATACTGCGTAGCCCTGGCTTGCCTGGAACTTTCTATGTAGAGTAGATTGGTCTTGAACTCCCAGAGATCTGCCTGCCTCTACTGCCTGAGCACAGGCTCTGCCCCCAAGCTGCTCCTTGTCAGGATATTTTCCTCCAGCAACAGAGATGAAATTATGACACAGGTGTGTGCATGGCTGGCTCCTGGAACTCATGGCCCCAGGAGAAAATATAGCATTCAGAGTGCCACTGGGGCTGTGGGAACCATAAGTCACCCTGTTGCGTGTCCACTGGGTGAGGGCAGAAAGGGGCCACGAAGCAGTGTCAGTCTGGAGCAGCGAGGAGCAGCAAGCTGCATTTCCTGCAGGCAGATGGTTGGAGGCAGCTTGGGAGGCAGGGGAAAGTACCAGGTCAGGGAGGCCTGGGATGCTGGACCTGGGGACTGGAAACCTGGCTCCTACATAGCAGACTTTCCTGAATCTCCACCTCTTTGTGTTCACACAAACAAATCCCAGTCAACCAGGACATGCATGTGCAGGCCTGTGATCCCAGCAATGGATTTGGGGTGCTGCAGAAGACCCCTGAGCAGAAAACAAAGATGAGAAGTGGCTTTCAGAATGAGGTTGGCAGTCAGGTCAGGTGGGAGGGAGGTATGGAAAGAGAGAGGCATAGCAGTCAGGGCCAGGGAGGGTCATAGAGGGTCATGCAAGGTCATGGAGGGCTGCAGAGCGTCATGGAGGGCTGTAGAGGGTCATGGAGGGTCATTGAGGGCTGTAGAAGGTCATGGAGGGTGGGAAACACAGTACATGGAAACCAACCACCAAAGGTGAAAGGTTCTGATGGACAGAAAGGGGATGGGTGGGTGGGTGGATCCGGGATTACAGAGTGTAACTTACCTAGGACTTAAGGACAGGAGCTAGACAGAGTGGGGCACAGCCAATCAAGGGGGTACCTGCACTTCCTTAAGTACAAGCACATGGCCAGAAGGTCCCCTGGGTCTCCGCAGCCCTCAGGCCAATCGGATTTGCCTCATCCCTCCCCACATCAGTGTGAGTCAGTTTAGCAAACACACAGAAGAAAAATGATTGACTCCTTTAATTTAAAACAGCAAGAGAGTTTGTGCTTTCGCTCAGCCAGGGATAACATCATACTCCAAAAAATAAATAAATAAATCTCATGCTAGGCTTAATTATGCCACAAAAACACTTGAAGAGGCGGCTGGAGAGCTAGTTCAGCAGTGAAGAGCATTTGCTGTTCTTGTAGGGAACCCGGGTTTAGTTCCCAGCTCCCACTGCTCACAACTCTCTGTAACCCCAGTCTAGGAGGATCTGTCTCCCTCTGGCTCCTGCACCCACATGGTACATTTACATACCCAAAACATTCATACACAAAACATTCACACACGTGAAAACAATGACATCGGGTTTCCTTTGTACTCTAAGCTTCCAATACATAATAATCTTTATATTTTTCAAAAGAGAGAGACACACAGAGAGAGAACAAACTAAAAAGCTTTAGAAAGCTGGCCAGGGCCTGGTGTGGTGGCGCATACCTGTAATCCCAGCACTCAGGGAGACAGAGGCAGGCCGATCGCTGTGAGTCCCTGGTCTACAAAGCGAGTCCAGGACAGCCAAGGCTACACAGAGAATCCCTGTTTCAGACACACATAAGGGGGGAGGAGGAGAAGATAGGAAAATAGCTAAATGTTAGAATACTCATCTAGAATGCACAAAGGCCCAGGTTCAATCCCCCAGTATCTAAAACTAAAACACACACACACACACACACACACACACACACACACACACACACACA